GAATCATTGTAAATCGTTATGTATTGTGAATATAAAAAAAGTACATTCATGACAACCTAAGATTTATTTAACGTCAAAAAATGAAAGAAAAATAAGTGACATGTTTTTTTCTTGAAAAAAAAAAGAATCAAGTAGAAAATGTTCTTTTTTTTATGAAAATAATCACTGATGACGGTGAGAGCGCCGATGTAAATACTATAATCTTCAATCGCTTCTTTGATAGAAACAATAGATATTGAATTAACTACCAGTATTCACTAGATTTATTTTTTTGAATTTTAAAATAGGATTTATTTAACTGTTTGCTGATCTGATATCATCATCAATATAATAAAAATATATATAAATATATGTTAGATAAGTATTTTAAATAGTAATAAATTACCTAATGGGAACAACAGATTCAACGAAAAGAAAATATTTTAATTGAATATCGAAGTTCTCTAACGAAACTTTTATTATAACAAGATAAAACATTGAATGCATGTAAATTAGAATAATTTATCATGCGATCATTTCATTGTGTTCGAAAATCTTTTATTACGTAATCATTATTATATAGTAGTACATCTCTGTATTTTATTGTGTATCGCTTCTTTGGTTTTGATTGCGTATAAGCCGACAAATCTTGTTAACCCTTTAAGGATAGATTTTTATTTTATAAAAAAATAAAATTCTATAGTCAAAATTAATTATATTCTGAAAGTTATTAATGATCATAATTATCGATGTAAGATTTCAATTCAAAGATGCAGCTGATTTATTTTGAAATGAAAAAAAAAAGTTCAAGAAGATGCAAAAAACTAAAAGTTCATCAATTTATGAAATTCTTCGAAACAACCAACTATGCAAAGGGTATGGATGTGGATGTGCATATGAAAATAATAAGACATCCACAACTTTTTCTCAATTTCTTTTTTTTCGATTTGTCGCTGGATGATATTTGTGACTCGAGTATTACTAATGCGTCACTATCTTTATCCTAATCAATATGGTTATCATTAGCATCAGTCATTTCTTCTGCTAAGTAAAAATGTTACAGCTTATTATATTCTTAACCAATAACAAACAATAGACAGAAGATTGTGTACAATGAATTGAAAGATTTGCATGATTGGTAGAAAATACTTCAGAAAGAAAGATATTGGTAAAGAACGGCCTCAACAAGTGGCATATATATATTAGCCGTTTTCAATAACTATTGGAAATTCAAAGTCACCAACTTATTAATTTCCATTATACAATAAAGACGACAAAAAAACAGTATGCATCACTAAGAATTCATCGAATATATATGGAATAATGATATATTAGAACTGAAATTGAGTTAAAAATGAAAAGCAGATAATATTTTGAAAAGCAGAGAAAATTGAAAAAGCAGCAACGACAGAAAAAAAGCAGAAAAGGTGACGACCTTGTTCGAAAGTTTTGTTGGAATTCTTGATATAAAGTGAAGATAAACACTAGTTTAAATCGTGCAATGTTTTATAAGAGTAATATACTTAGTAGAGTAATAAAATATTAATGAATAAATAAAGGTTAGTTCATCGATGAGTCTTAACAATGCAAGAGAACACCAACAGTGTTCGAAAAACCGTTTGCAACAACAATGTCGGGTTTGTTATCACTATTGACATCGACGACTGCTACTGAATACGGGTAAGTGCCAACTGCGTAAGCAGTTTGAGCATTAAAGGTACCGTTACCCGCGTTGAGAAGAACACCGACGGTGTACGAACCCTCGTTTACAACAACAATATCGGGTTTATTGTCGCTATTCACATCGACGACTGCTACTGAATATGGACTACTACCAACTGAGTAAGCAGTTTGAGCATTAAAGGTACCATTGCCTGCGTTGAGAAGGACACCAACGTTGTTCAAGCCCTCGTTTGCAACAATAATATCGGGTTTATTGTCGCTATTCACATCGACGACTGCTACTGAATATGGATTGTTACTAACTGCGTAAGTAGTTTGAGCATTAAAGGTTCCGTTACCTGCGTTAAAAAGAACCCCGACGGTGTTCATACCCTCGTTTGCAACAACAATATCGGGTTTATTGTCGCTATTAACATCGACGACTGCTGCTGAATATGGGCTACTACCAACTGAGTAAGTCGTCTGAGCATTAAAGGTGCCGTTACCTGCGTTGAGAAGGACACCAACATTGTTTGAACCATAGTTTGCAACAATAATATCGGGTTTATTGTCGCTATTCACATCGATGACTGCTACTGATTGTGGCTGAGTACCAACTGCGTAAGTAGTTTGATTATTAAAGGTGCCGTTGCCTGCGTTAAGAAGAACACTGACGGTACCCGAACCTCTGTTTGCAACAACAATATCGGATTTATTGTCGCTATTCACATCGACGACTGCTACTGAATATGGATTGTTACTAACTGCGTAAGTAGTTTGATTATTAAAGGTGCCGTTGCCTGTATTAAGAAGAACACCGACGGTGGCCGAACCCTCGTTTGCAACAATAATATCAGGTTTATTGTCGCTATTCACATCGACGACTGTTACTGATTGTGGAGTATTACCAACTGAGTAAGTAGTTTGATTAAGAAAAAAATTGCATCCTATTAAATACAAAAAATTTGCTCCCACATCTGTACAGGTATATAAACAGTATTCAATCGTCGTGTTTTATGCAATCTTTTATAGTTTAACTTAACTGAACATACTTTATTCGAAAAGATCATGTCACTGAATTCTGGGATATTTCAGATATTCTAGAGCACAACTAAAGTCAGTTTTCAGCCATTATGTCCATCTCTATGTGAAATGTTGTCGTGAATCTGAAAAATCAATGAAGTCCCCTCACTCTACTTAAAACTTGCGCTCCCTTTAATAAAGTTTCATGATATCCTCGACTAAGAAAATTCAGAATTCTGTACATTTATCCAGAATTTCATTTCAACATGTATACTATTCCTTTTTTAAAATTGCATTAGGATATAGAATTCTATAAACAATATGATAAATCTGTATCATATAAACCAACCATATGTCTACAAAATTCTAAATTCTACTTTTCAAGTATTTTACAATTACCTCTGCATTCACACTCAGTTCTCGTTCTCTTTGAGAATAGTTCAACACAAATAAGTTACCTATTTGCGTCATTGAGAATCTGTTTTTCAGTGTTTGGTATAGGTATACTAAAAGCGGAGTCTACCAGATACTGTATCAATAAAAAAACTGACATTACAGTTTTTATTTATTATAAGTTGTGTTCTTCAATACTTACTCTACAAATGGATGTACTTTTCAGATTCGACTACAGTTGTCTCGAGACTTTATACATGTAAAGAAAGTCGGTGCTTTTATCGACTCTTTTTTATTTTGGAGCTCACAAAGTTTTCAAGAAACAATAACTGCATTTGATAGACACCTCAGTTAGTAGAGTAAATATCGAAGAACACAAATCACAATTAATAAAACTCGTAGTGCTTAGTCTAGTTTACTGGCACTGCGTCTAATAGACTCTGATACAAGTCCGATTTTGACTCTATGGAGTCCCCTAGTGATTGATCGAAAACCACCCCGAGGCAAAAAAATGAAGCGCGCAGGCGGACGAGACTATATGCTGGCCGGCGAGAATTAACGAAAAGAAAAGCAACAATAACGAGGCTTAGTTCTTGCTGCCAAAATCTTCGTTACACTACTATACTATAGTGCTATCTTACTATTCACAGTTATTTTCTAAAGAGGTAATCATTAGTGATACGTCTGAATCAACGCCAGTTTTTTAATACCGTCTCTCGCAGCGGAGGTCCCTGCCATCAGCGCGATGATTATAATTTGTTACGTGTAGAAGTATTGCTCCTACAAGAGACAACTGAGCGAATCTCTAGGCAAGTGTCATTTGTTCAACGAAATGATAAATCTTTGAAAGATAAAATCTCAAACTTTTAAATTTGTCTAGTGGAACAAATCATCGATTTAAAAGCTTCAAAAAACTACTGCACCTTATCAAACATATTACTAACCGATTGTTGTTGTTGCCGATGTTGTTGACGACGTGGATGATGAAGCGGTTGATGTTGTTGTTGACGATGTGGTTGATGAAGTAGCAGTTGTAGTTGTTGTTGTTGTTGATGATGATGATGATGATGATGATGATGATGATGATGATGATGATG